TACTAACAATACAGCATTTCTATTTTCCTTTGTGATTCCACAAATGCAGTAGATTGTATGAGGAGCCTTCCCTGTTATAGACATGGATGCTTCGAATTCCGAGAGCATTCTTTGATGTTATAAAAAATTGTGCTTGAATCAATGAGTGTTTTTGAAGTATCTTTAATTCATTTTGAATTTGAGTTTACCGTTTAGCGTGATTCGTGTGAATTCCCAGGCGTCTACTTAGCCACTTGTAGGTAACCTGAAAAACAATGTGAATTAAGAAAAGAGGGATCGTCGCTTATACTTCCTGAAGAATGTAATTTTCCGCGACATACGATTCGTTTTTCATGATATATGAAGCTCTGAAGGCTCTCCAAGTGGTTCATTGGTATCGCTGACATAGAACGTCCAAATAAATTTGCAAAAAAAAAAAAAGAAAACGCGAGAAGAAATACGCGCCAAGTTTAAAAGTATTCTGCATGAAATTATGGTATAATTTGTGCCATAGGAAATCGGTTGTCACGTGATTCGGGTCGTAATACCCGTAATACTCTGACATGCACGAGATCACTAAATGCATAGTATAAACTTATTTAGCGTTAGCGACAAATAACGCCTTTTACTTATCAATTCAACACTATTCCTGAATAACAAAAATGCTTAATCTGATACAATCCATTAGATCAGTGTTGGCAACTTCTTGCGGCCAAACAATTTTTTTGGCCAAAATAGGCAAACAACCAATGGCCAGTAGCCAAACTTCGGCCTAACTTGTATAATATTAACCAATCATACTGCTAGCTTTTCTATATGAATATTTGCCAAATAAATTGGTCCAATTCGGCTGTTGGCTGCGGACATCGGCCGGCCAAATAGCCAAGTAACAACACTGCATTAGAGAATCCATGCTTACAGATTTCGGATAAGTGCATATTACAAGTCACTCTCGTTATAGTGAAGTCCTTGGGCTGTGAAAATTTCTTCACTATATCGAGAGATTCACTATATTGAGAGCCTCTAGATATAGCGAAGTCGATAATAAATTGTATAAATCTTCACTATATCGAGAGAAATAATAAATGGGGCATGAAGCTTGGAATCGGATGATGCTGAGAATTTGGGGTCTTAGTAATAATAATATCCTGATCCATTGGGAATTAGCGGAAACTTCGTTTCCGCTAATTCACATATGGTCAGGGTATTATTAATTAATCCTCCTGTGATCTTGATATAGTGATCGGGGATTAATTTAAAAATATAAACCCTGCTAAAATCCACATATAGAACTATTGCAGCAAAAGGTGGCAATAGGCAACCAATCAGATTTTGAGATTTTATAATTTTTTTTTTTTTTATAATTTGGCAATCTTGCCTTGTTTTACAGTACTAGTCAAAAGTTTCTCCACACCTATATCTGCTTACAGAAAGGTGCTACAGCCTTGAAATTTTTCAAAATTTAGTAAATAGTTAGTC